CAATAAAATAAATTAAAAAAAAACAAACAAAAGATATACTAAAGATACCTGTCCTGGAGCTTGCCATTACAACTGCGATTTTCCACTCTCTCTCTCTAGCTAATATCCTCCAGGCGGTCACACTGTTGCTTGTTCTTCCTCACCTTAAGTTTCTTCATTCCACAAAACACACATAGGCACACTTGTGCACTTATACTCCCATTCTCAATATTCTAAAACTCTTTCTTTTCTAACAGCAAAGAAAGTTTGGACTGGAACTGAAATGATTATAATACAAGAATCTTGTTCAGGTACTAAACCCGACCATAAATCTACCCAGAAGCCAATCTGACAAAATGGAATCTGTTCTCACCTAAGTGTGTTTTTTTCCATATGATATCATTTGTCAACTAACACCGTCATTTTTCCCACTGCTGCATAATCACATAATGAAAGTGCCAGGTGTAATTCATGTACACAAGAGGGCAAACTTAGGGTTGATAAGAGACCCTCTCGTTATTTGCATTGCTAATAGGTTTTTAAATAACAGGCAAAATGCTATACGTAGAATGATAATGGACAAAAAAGAAAATTTTGTTTTTAATAACAATGTGGGATAACCAATTAGCATTGTCAGGTTTTAACTCACAACCACTCTTGCCACTATTTGAACACACAGAGCAAGACGCTGGGGCACAGTCCTCGCATGGAATCCTATTAGTTCCCTTCTAACACCGTGTTTCCCTCTTGGGGCACATCCCACCTTCCAGCCACACTAACTTGTGACTAATCTCCATTCACACCACAATACATACTTTAGGGTTTCCATGCTGTTCATTCTGCCTGAGATCCCCTTCCTCCCTTCGATCCTGGGAAGTTCAAACTCATCCCTTGAACAAGTCTGCAAGACAGTACTTAGCTAGTAATAATAGTTGAATGTCTGCATCCCCATAAAAGACTAGAAGCTAAATGTAGAACCTCTGTAGCCTCAACACAGAGCGCGGCACCTGCCACGGGGTAGATGGTCTATTACTACTTGTTAAATGAAAAGATGAAAAGTCCTATAAAATATATTTAATGAAGTCTTATCTTCACTGGTTGCTGCCTGTTATTCTCCACACGCCGATATGACAGAGAAACGCTAAACAACTCTCAATGGCAAGTACTCCAAGTACAGCGGCCTCACCAACACTACCAGATTTTGCAAGGTGGCTGTATCCCCAAGGTGTGTCAAAGGCAGGGTGTCTGGAGCTCTCAGTCTCTTAGGTCTTATGCCCCTCCCCTCAACTCAGTACGCTCCTCTTTTCTGAGAATCTCTGACCAAAAATACACCTTCAACTTGTTCATGACCATAAGGAAGACCAGCCTCCTACCTCTACTTCTGCCATCTGACTTCCATCAAATTCATAAGGCTTCATTCATGGCTTCGGACAACAGCATATATCTGCACAGGATAGATTTTCCATCATTGGTGGTCAATGGCAAATGCAATGGTATTTTCCTGTTCCAATCTCTTACCCCTTGGCTATACTGTGCCCAAGAGAATCAATCTATAAAGCCTTTATGTTTGAAATAAAGCTTTCTGCTGACCATTTTTCCTAGACCACAACAGCAGCTCCCCTTCAACTACCTAAATATGCACGTTACAAATGGATACAGGGTCACAAATGCAGTCTACCAGACCCCAGGGTCCAGGGAAAAGTAATAACTCAGGTGGGTTCACGGGTTTCAAACAGTTCTATATGCCGAACTGGGCCTTTTAGAATCCCGTATGATCAATATCTCGGTGACATTTGCCTGTTTTTCTGATAGTACTCTAAACTGAGCAGGCTCTCCTTGGCGTCACCTTCATCATTCCTGTCTCCCCCCACCTCTGGGATCAGCTTTGATAAGACTTAGGTACTTGGGTAAACCTAGGCAATGGGGCAGTGTTCCTCAGGGAAGTAGAATTATCTTTCAATTCTGCTGGAAGGCCTGCAGACACTAATGACTTCATACTATTAAAAGTGCAGAAAGCATCGGAGACGGAAGTGCAACTACGTTGTCAAAGGCTATGTGACCATCTCTAAGTATAAGGAATGTATTTTTAAGGGGAATTTTAAGTTTGATGGAGTCCACTGCAGAAATATTTTGAAGCCATGTAATTTTATGATGATTTTAGGGAATATGCAGTCAAAAGCCAAAAAGAAGTGTTGATTACAAACTGTTAAGGAATTTAAAGTTAGGATGGTATAATATTCAAAGGGTAGAGCTTTTGTATAGCCCTTATATACTTAAAAGATTGTAACTGAGTCTTTTCAGAATGTCACATTAACATTTTGCTGTTAACTGGTTCTGAGTTGTCCAAATGACACTTTAGATGTGAGCAGGTCCATCCCTTAGGCACTGAGAATCCACTCAATAGTGCAAAGTTCATCCCATGAACCCTCAAGATAAACCACAGTCTCATGAACCTTCAACATAAACCACAGGCTCATGAACCTTCAAGATAAACCACAGTAACATGGGTCCTTGTGTTTTATTCTTCGATGGAGAAAAGAAAACTAGTCCCCCCTAGTGTCCTGCTACTGTAGGTGGCTGAAGGATGCCAACACTACAGGACGTACCCTCCCTGCACTTGGCATCAACTTTAAAGTGCAGCTCAGGAACCCAGAAACAAAGGAAACCTTCACAACCTTCCCAAGAGATGGAAGCACTTCCAAGACCTATGATGAGATT